AATGGAAGTTTAAAAATCAATATTGCTAGTGAGGACATGTCAAGATAGCATGTAGGATGTGGTTTGATGTGGGCACAGTCAAAAGAGGACAAGGTCACAGATCAGACCATGTGGTAACTGGCACCGACTGCAACGCAGTCTGGAGACGGATGTTTTGTCTTTTTTCTAGGAGCTCATGGAATATAGCTGTGTAGAACTAAGAGGCAACATCAAAGCCAAAAGGATAGTTATGGGCCATGGGAACTGGGGAAAGGGAGACCAGACTTTAAGGCAAGAAAATTAAAAAGGAGATGGAAGGAAGTCTTATCACATCATGTCTCACTAGGGGACCAAATAAACATGTAACACAGTTTTCTCCTCTACTGAATGATCCATGAAAGGGGTACCTCCACCTGTCTGCCCTTAAGAACTCCACTGCAATCCACGCATTTCTTCTAAAAAACTTCAGGATACTATGAATGCTACTACCTAGCTTTACACCACATTTCCATGTCACTTCTCTTAGGGTTAAATTACTCCTGCTTTTCAATAAGAACACAGGTAAATAGTTTAGGTGGGGTACACAAGCAGTATCTCATCAGGGTGGTTAACAGATTTGCCTATTTTTCTAAGGGTCTCAAAGGTAAGAACTTCTAAAATGAGACACTGAATTTACATTACTCATTAACAGTTAAAAATTATACTGCCACATGAAAGGGAGTGGTTACAGAAGTATTTCATTGCTGTTATGAGACTTGGCCACAAGAAGCAAGAAAATACTGGAATATACTGCAGCATCTGGAGTGTGAACTGGGTAGCCCAGTTCCGTCCTACCACTTAATAGATGGATGTTCCAAACTAGTGACTGTCTTCACTGAGGTTCTTAGTTTCCAGCTTCCTCATCTACAAAATGGTGCGGCTGCAATCCTATCTCTCTCCCTCTCTCCTTGCCGGTTTACCTCTGTCCTTCCCTCCCTACTCTCATCAATGTGAAGTCTTAACAGATAAATTTCTTTCATTATACTATAATCTGACACACTTTAAAAAAAAAAGAGAGAGAGAGAGAAATATCAATGTGTGGCTGCCTCTCATGTGGCCCCCAGTGGGGACCTGGCCCACAACCCAGGCATATACCCTGACTGGGAATCGAACTGGTGACCCCTTGGTTCACAGCCCATGCTCAATCTCCATTTATTGAGGTACACCAGCCAGGGCTTGACACACTTTCTATCAAAGGAAGCTTTGTACAATACACTTTTAGGCAAAAATTCACTGGTCAAATTAAGAACCAAAATATCAACTAAATAATAAATGTTTTAGAGTAAATGAGACAAAAGGGCACTGAGGATACAGCTAGGATTTGAGATTCCTTTCAGAGCCAGGCCACACCTGCTAATAACTAAAATATCTGACTGCTTTAATTACCTTGGCTACACAACAAGAAAGTGCTGGTGGTCATAAAATTCCAGAATATTAAAAACTCAGCCACAACTTCATTCTCTACTATGTTGACGTCAAAAGAGCCAGACTGCCAACAGTGTCAATTTTCATAGCTGTTTACTTAGTACTACCTTTCAAGCAGTTCTGAAAGAGGAAAAGTAAAAGAGAAGCTGAAGCACTTACTGACAGGTGACTGGCTACCAAGCAACATGACATCTAAAAACTGGACTTATATCCCTTTTTTTGATATATGTAGTTAATAAATACCAAAATAATGGTTTTGAACCCCAAACTCACTTTTGTGTAAATTAACCTACTGTACACAATGGCAAAAGCATTCACAAACATACCACAAAATTACAAAACAATCTGCTTATCTGGCTTTTGATTTTGCTCTTAAAATATTTTGAGTATTCTTCTGATATTCTTTAGCTCATAGTCATCTCATCATATAAAGGTCACTGTAAGGTACTTTAACCTGAACATGTAGATAGCACTTATCTTTTCTTCCCTCCCACCCGTTAAAGAACTAGGTTGCTCCAAATATGGCATTATTGCTTCAAAGTGCTAAGTCAAGTCTGACATAATTCTTTTAATGAATTATCTATGTTGTCATGACTAACACACAGGAGGTAAATGGAGACAGACAGGCTGATGAAAAACACCTGGGTCTGGCCCTGGCTGGGTGGCTCCATCGGAGCATTGTCCAGGTAGGCTAAGGTTGTGGGTTCAATCCCCAGTCAGGGCATATACAAGGGTCAACCAATGAGTGCAGATGGGAAGAACAGCAGCAGGTCAGTATCTATCTCTCTCTCGCATACACAAACACACAATTAAAAAAACAAAACAAACACTCGGGTCTGATTTTCATGCTGTTTTATAGGAGGAGAAAAACAAAGCTTTCCAATGGGAGATACATGTAAAACTACATTCTCTCTGAACTTAGGCTGTGGGTTTTTAGGTAACGCCCAACATGATGAAAGATGGAAGAGGCAGAGGCCGCCTGCCCAGAATGGAGTAGAAGAGAATCCTTCCCTGGGTAGAAAGTTTCCCTGGATAACTTCTAAGGTCCTTTCCTAACCTCAGAAAATGAGACCTCATTTGTGAAAGGTAGAGGCACGGTAAATGCAATGAAAATGCAATGCATGAGTGAGGACAACGGAACAGTATGCTGGAAAATTAGAAGGCCTGGGCTGAAATCCTGCTTCTGCTTCTATGTGAACCTAAGTAAGGCATTTCACTTCCCTCGTTTGCAAAATGAAAGGATTAGAGAAAAAAAATCTCTTAAGTTTCTAACATTCTGAGACGATGGCTTCCTCCTATGCCTGCCTTGGCCACCATTTGCCAACTGCTGCACCCTTACCATAATTAGGCAGCTTTTTAAAGCATCTAATTAATGGAACACAGAAATTAAAACCTTGAACTTTCTATTTCAGGCCTGCTGCAAATGTACAGCAGCATTTTATCAAGAAGTAGTTAATGCCACACAGTTCTTGAGATTCTGGCTTTTCTTTGAACCCCAGTGACAGTTACACAGTGACAAGTTGTAAGTAAGAAGGCTGTTACCATGGGGACCCACTAAGATTCCTGGGGGTGGATCCAGCAGGCTTCCCCCACCCCAAAGCAATTTTTGATGTTCTGGATCTTGCAATTCAGAAAGCCTGATGTGACTTCTTCAGCAAGATGCTTTAAAGAAATATTACCAGGCAACATACAGTTCTGAAGAGATAAAATTGTTTTAGTGGTTCTCTTGAAAAAGAGTTAATTTAAATATATGCAAGTCAATCTTTACCCCCTCCCTATTCATAAAAAATATACAAACTGAACTAAGTTTTAGTGACCTATATATGTCATTTCTTTCCAAATCACCATACTGCATAAATTATATTACTTACTATTTTCCCTATCAAGACTTCAAAGTTTTCTCCAAAGCAAGTTTCTACTCAAGAAATTTTAGCTTCCCTACATATATTGGAAATACAGCAGACACAAAATATAATTATAATGAAAAACTGATTATAAAATAAATCCAATCGATTAAATGAGAACAGAAAAGTTTAATAACAAGTCTGCTCCCAAGTCACTGTGTGTGGACAAAGGGATGTAATGCAAAGGTAAGAACTGCCACTCCCAGCTAAATGTGGACCGCCACTCAGCTCCTCCAAGACGCATTCTGTGAGAACATACCTTCAGAAAACAGACCATTTACAAGTCTGATCTGTGCATCTGGTTTCTTCAAAGGAAAACTGGAATGAACAGTCAAAATTCAAAAGAAAACATTTTTCTAAGTTGTATGCTTACAACTTCAGTCTTGGAACAGACTGAAGTCTTTCTCTAGGTCTTACTTAGCCCAGAAGGAAGTTACATCAGACAGACGAACACTTACAAAGAGAACACTTGATTTTACAGTGATAATCGAGAACGTCAGCTATCCTAGGCCTGATCCACAGTAACTTGTAATCTAGAAAGCACTTGAAATAAAGCTCAGTAAGCGTCCCCATGCTCCTTGAGTCTTTCCTTAATCTCAAACTAATAATTATTTAAAAGCCTAAGTATAGCCCTGGCTGGTGTAGCTCAGTGGATTGAGCGCAGGCCTGCGAACCACACAATTGCAGTTCGACTCCCAGTCAGGGCACATGCCTGGGTTGCAGGCCAGTTCCCAGCAGGGGACTCATGAGAGGCAACCATACATTGATACTTCTCTCCTTCTCTCCTTCCCTTCCCTTTATCTCCTCAGATAAATAAATAAAATCTTAAAAAAAAAAAGCCTAAGTATAAATGCCACTAAGGTAAAATGTATTAAAAACCACACTCATAACTGTATTATAAAACAGAAATCACAAATTCGCAAGCCCAACGAAAAAATAATAATCTAAGGAAATAGGGTATATCATTGGCTAAAGGTAAACATAGGCATCAAGATATTCCACAGAAATACTGTATATGGTTTTGATATATTTACTCACCTAAGCTTTCCTGCAGCACATCCAAAGGGTTATTTTTAATAGTTTCCCAACCCCACTGCCATAATCTATAACCCAAATTAGTTCAGTAAAGAAGTCTGCGAGCTCTTTAAAGTGTACTTGTAAACGTATCCAGAGACTATTAGAAACAGCGTGTGACAAAAACAACAAATACACACTAAACATGGTGCCTTTCCGTGACTGTTTCCCATAAACTTGAAAGGGGAAGAGCAAAGGACAAGCCCAGAGGACAGTTTTGCCACATTAGTTTGGTATCAGGGAGTCTAAAGACAAACAGGAGAGACTCAGGCAACTGGACATGAGAGGAAGCAAACTCCTAGGTGCTTTATTCGTTTTTACTACTGGTTTACAATTTCCTTGATTTTATTTTTAAAAGCATGTCTTAGCCAGAATAGCAAAAGAGCACAGACTGCCAGCAGTATTGGATTCTCCTTTTCTTAATCTCTGGAGCTACAGAAAACAGAGCCAGAATCAGGGCTGTCTAGGAGCCTTCTGATTTTGTCCAAGCAATATACAATATGAGGTTTCAGGATCACAGAGCTACACAAATGCTTTTATAGTACAGATCTTAGCCAACTTAATGTTTTTCTTTCTTTTCATGGGAGAGCACAAATGCAGTCCATCACTACCACTAATTATGCAGTTGAGCTTCCCACATTTGGGGAAATCGCAGGGATCAGCACACCCAGAGTGCAATGGATCAGCCTTGCCCAGGGGAAACCACCTTCGTGACCATAGTATCACCTCTGCGAGTTAGTATAACTTAGAAGTTTTTCAATGGAAAGCTGCTTATTTCTTTCCCCCACAGAAAACTCCCTGGGGATTTAAAGTACTTTGATTATCTTCAAAAGGCAATAATTTGCTACAGTACTGAACTGTCTCAAAACATAAAGTGCCATTAGACCAGACACTGACTATTCAACAAATATTTATTGAGTATTGACTATGCAAGGTCCCAGTAGGCACCTTGAGTAGGCACTAAGGACTACAAAACTTTTATGCACAGCACTTGGTTCAATGCTATACACACACCACATAAAGGCATAACATGGTTTAGGTACACGTTCCCAACAACTTGGCTTCTGGTGTCAAATAACATCTTCCAGCTTTTTCTACCCTGCAAATCTATTCCTTCTTGGTTGTATATAATTCCACATTTCAAAGCTTGCTCTTGTCTCTTTTTAATTCCTCCTCAGTAATATCACTGGGAAATTTTGTTTTTCTAGAATAAAGTCTTTTGACTTAACAGAAACATAATGATCACAGGAAGGAAAAAAAATCAAATTAGAAGCACTAAACTGTCTTTCTCAGAGCTTCCCACCCTTCTCTCTCATTAACATTTCTCAAACAGAAAAACTCCACTGTGATGCTCCTATTTACAGATCATTCATGAAGTTACTAACCAAGCAGACACCAGAGTCCATCAACTGGGCACTCAGCCACTCACCATCACCCTTTGTTTAAAGTCTCAACTGCCATTCAACCCACAGCATTGTGTTCCACTCAAGCCCATAACCTTTTTAAAAAGAGGAAACACTCAGGACACTAAAAATGTGTTACTTACCTAGAAAGGAAGAAAGGACCTAATAATCCATGTGCCTCACAAAAATTATTTTTAAATGATGGCTCACTTTGTTTCCTATTTGAAACAGCAGTATTATTTCCTTATCTTATATGCCTGAAAGAAGTAGTTATAAACAAATAATCATTAAAACTTCTTAAAAAAAAAAAACCCACAAACCTTCAATCCTGATCTGGCGAAGCACCCAAAAAACGCACTCTATACACCAAAAGCAACACCACAGGTGCATCACATCTGCACTATAGACTAAGGAGCCAAGACCCCAAGTGAGAGGGTTTTTTGGAGGGTAGGGGAAATGGCAATCTTCCAAAGAACAATGATCCTAGGCCTGACTATTCAAAAATGTAAATGAATTTAAGAAATATTACGCAGAACTCTGTACTGAGTATCTTATTCAAAACTCTTCTGGTTGTAACCAGAACTAACCAGAAATCCTTCAAACTAACTTAAGCAAAAAATGGAATTAATTGAAAGGATGCTAGAGTACCTCAAGGAGACCAAAAGCAGAAAGTACAACAGGGCCACACCTGAAAAGCCTTTATGCACCCCTCTGCATGTGGACAGCTGCCTCTCTCCAGAGCTATAATACATTCCCCATGTACACATCTTTCTGGATGAATCTACTTAATTCTCCCTCCCTGCAGAAGACTGGCCTGCACTGCTTCCACATATATGAACCTGAATGTGGCTGCACTCCAGCATCTGAGGTTGTAAGTTTGTTTCAAGTTCTCTGAATTCAAATGATCTGTTTGTTCCCTGAAAACCTGAATCTAATGTCAATCTCAAATTCCTAGGAGAAACTGAATTGCCCAGCTTGGGTTAGGTGTTCGCCCCTGGTGCAATAAGCTGTTACAAGAAGGGCTAGATCGCCCTGAGGAATATGGCTCTGTGGGTTGGGTGTCATCATGAAAAGTGAAAGGCTGGTCGCAGATTCAATTCCCAATTAGGGCACATGCCTGGGTTATGGGCCAGGTCCCCTGGTGAGGGTGTGCAACAGGCAACTAACTGATGTTTCTATCACACATGAATGTTTCTCTCCCTCTTTCTCGTTCCCTTCCCCTCTAAAAATGAATAAATGTGTGTGTGATTTAAAAAAAAGAAGGGCTACATCACAGAGTATAATTAGGGTAGGGACTGTGTGCCTGACTCCTCATAAGAAATGAAATTCACTAAGCAAAACAAAAAAAGCAGTCTCCATCTTCAAAAAGCTTAAAATCTTGAGGAAATGAAAAGTATCACTGATAAACTGGAAATAATACCCTAGGATACAGTAGCAGAATGAACAGATAAGAAAAGTTCCACGAGAAAAGGTGAGCTGAGCACTAAGTGATCAAGAGAAACTGAACCACGCACAGGTAAGGCCCAAAAAAACATAAAATGCAATGCCCGCTCCTCTTGCTCTAACCTTCTAAGAAATCTGAACCCAAGGAATAGTCTTTTACCACATACACAGCCTCCAGTGAAGAAATACCCTTGCTGAAAGCCTGCTGTAAGGCTTAAAATGATTTTATGGCCACAAAGGCACTACTGCTTCAATGTGCAGTAATTAACAAATGCAGTTGATGAATGCTGGTTACACATTTACAAGCTGTTTATCATCACCACCTCGATGTCCTTTCACTCCCTGACCCCCTAAGACTCTTGCGCAGATAGCATTCACAGTCAGGCAGGCCATCTAAAGGATGACACAGGTGTTCCTCACTGGCGGTATCCCACCCCACCTAATTGGCAGCATCGCACAGACAGATTTCAGGCAGGAGAGAGAAACAATAGGCAGGTTATGATAGTAATGTGGTGGGAGGGCACTGGAGCAGAAAAGAGGAATGTTTCCCGCATACAAAAGCTACAAGCACAGAAAGAAATTGGGAAATGCCTACAGTAAATTATCTATACAAAACAGAAACTAGCAGAGACTTAACAGATGCCCAAACAATACTGGGTTAAAAAAGTCTATTCACAGTAGACTATTACCCCGAATTACCATAGAAATATCACACATTACCAGTCTCTACAAGAGCTTGCTTCAATCTCACAGGAAACAAAAAGGCAAAAGAACAATGAGAAAGTAGTGAGTTTTTCTTCTGCTGAAGAGTAGCAATGTTACCGAACATAAGTGAAACTAATGACTACCGACCTGGCAAAGTAAAAGTGTAACACTATAAAATTAAACAGCTTTGGAAACAAACAAAAAAACAAAAAAAACACTTCATTTTTGTAGAATCCCCAAACTAAAGACATTCATTTCCCAATTCAAAACGAAAGTTTGAATATGAGGATACTGACATCCAATTCCATATTGTCAACACTGAACACAGCTGTAAAAAGAATTGGCAGTCAGTGGCGGTCAGAAAGTTAGTGAACAGTTCTTTTAAAGCCACATTCTCCACCTAAAAGTGGCACATTAAAATCAATTAAGTGGGCACTCTCCCTCACAAGAGCATGCCCTCTGTAACTTTCTAAATAAAATTTCTCTTATAATTTGAGTTCTTGGCTTTGAAATCTTTTCTTTGCCAAACTCAAGAACCCAAGTCCAATTTCACCACCAACAGTGCCAACAACAAAACCACAGTACAAAGTTGTTAATTTATATGTAAACCATACTCATTACAAACCCTAACTTTTGAACAGGAAAAAAATTATGATAAAAAATGAGTTACTAAGATGGGCGAGAAACTGATCTCTCCCTAAAGAACCTCAGCCTTTTCCTCTCTAATGAAAGCAAATACAGGCCTATTACTGTCCTTTGGATGAAAACTAAAAGCTAACCCATTAAGCTATAAATAATAGCCAAAAAAATAAAAATAAAAAATAAAGTCAATTAAGAGAGATCCATCAGATCTCACTGCAGTCTAACTAGAACTCACCATTTCTCCTTATAAAAGTTGTTCTGAAAAATGAGTCCAATTCTTGTAAAGTGGGGTAAAGGTTGGCTGACTGAATGTCTTATTAGAACCTTGCAAAACTCTTAAGAGTTAAAATGCTTTAAATCATTTAAGAGACTGAATTATCTTACATTTAGTCTCCTCCCCTTTTTCACCTATTGAGAAAAGTCTAATTTTAATGTAACTTTTCATATTTATGCAATCAATGTTCTCTGTATAAAAATTTTTAGGCCTGCCCTGGCTGGTGTAGCTCAGTGGATTGAGCGCGGGCCTGGGAACCAAGCAACCACGGTTCGATTCCCAGTCAGGGCACATGCCTGGGTTGCAGGCCAGTTCTCTCCCTCTCTCCTTCCTTTCCCCTCTAAAGATAAATAAATAAAATCTTAAAAAAAAAAAATTTTAGCCCTGGTTGGTGTAGCTCAGTGGATTGAGCGCGGGCCTGCCAACCAAAGGATTGCGGTTCAATTCCCAGTCAGAGCACATGCCTGGGTTGCAGGCCAGTATCCAGCAGCGGATGCATGAGAGGCAACCATACATTGATATTTCTCTCCCTCTCTCCTTCCCTTCCCCTCTAAAGATAAATAAATAAAACCTTAAAAAAATTTTTTTAAACAATGGTAAGTATGAAGAACAAAAGTCATCTACATCCCAATGCCCCAGAGAAAATTTTGTCCTCATCCTTTTTAGCCTGTGAGATAAGGGTTTTTAGGAGAATTAAAGATTTCCTTAAAGAAAAGAACATATGAAGTCAATATGGAGTTTAAGGTGGATATTAAGCATTCTTGAAAAGTTTTACAGTTCTGGAACTCAAAGAATTTAAAATAAATATATGCTCATGGCCTCCATAGAATAGCAGAGGTTTAAAAAATAACAACAGAACAATTCTGTAAAGAAACCCGTACTTTAAGAAGAGTCTAAGCCAATTTTGTGACAAGGATTAAGTTACAACTACAAAGATCTCATCAAGAAAACTGTCTTTAGCAAAAAAGCTCTGAGAAGGATTCTTTTTTTTTAAGATTTTATTTATTTATCTGTAGAGGGGAAGGGAAGGAGAGAGGGAGAGAAACATCAATGTATGGTTGCCTCTCGTGCGTCCCCTGCTGGGAACTGGCCTGCAGGGAACCAGCCTGCAACCAAGGCATGTGCCCTGACTGGGAATTGAACCGCGATTGTCTGGTTCACAGGCCCACGCTCAATCCACTGAGCTACACCAGCCAGGGCTGGATTCTTGATACAATACAGTTTACAATGTAGATAACTACACTGACTAACTCTTCTGCCCACATTACAACTCTA